TCCAGGAGACTGCAGCTCTCCCTTATTTATGGAAGCTCCATCCGCATCCTTCTCGATGAGGGCAAATTCATTCTCCATCTCCGTTCACTTATCGACCTCATCTTCCTACTTATTCTTGAAGCTCCCCACCCGCACCTGCCTGTTGCCAAGCTCTGCCTCCAGCCTCAGCTTCCCCTGGCCCAGAGTCTCCAGCTGCCGCGAAGGTTGCTGATGTGGCTCTCTAACGTGTTGTCCGCGTTGCTCTGAGCCGTCTTCTGCTGCGGCGGGAGGCTCCACTTGGTCTCCAGCACCTCGTTCCGCTGCTCCAGGAACTGCACCTTGTCAATGAAGGAGGCAAACTTGTTGTTGAGGGTCTTGATCTGCTCCTTCTCCTGGGTGTGCACAGCCTGGATGCTGGGGTCCACCTCCAGGTTAAGGGGCCTCAGCAGGCTCTGGTTAACTCTGACGGCGGTGATGCCGTCCATGCCCATGTCGCTGGCCCCGCCACAGCCCCCACCTAGGCCACCCTGGAAGCTGCTGCTGCCCACTCGGGAGAAGCTGGAGGAGCTGATGCGGGCACCAGGCCCACTTGTGTATGAGCAGCTGCCGAAGGCCCGGGGGCCAGAAGTGGACACCCTTTGGACTTCTGGGTCACCCTGATGGACATGGTGGAGGCTGGAGTGGAGGCAGGCGGGCTGAACCAGGCGGAGATTCGAGAAGCAGGGAAGAAGCTGCTTCTTGGTGTGAACAATTTTTTTTTTAAAAAAGAACAGCCAGGGAAGGCTGAACACTTTCCCAACCTTAGGAGCCAGTGAGTGTGTCCAGGGATGGTCATTCACAGGCTCCCAGCGCCCTCAGGAGATGCTCTGGGAAAACAGCCTAGGCTTCAGTCTAGGCTCCTCAGAGCCAGGGACTGTTAAAACCAGCCAAGCTGGAGCCAGAGATGCAGGAAATTAACATATCTCTGAAACGCTTTGTGTAAACAGCAGTGTCAGTCACTCACGGAAAGAGGGAATCCTTCCGGCAGCTCGACTTTCCCCTGGGAGCCCTGAGTTGGCACCTTGACTCCTAACACTTGCTGCTTTCTCATAGACAATCTGGTGGCTTGATGGCCAGATTTCTGCCTTCTCTGAAAAAGAAACTGCAAGATCCAGCAATAATGGGCTCACATGCCCATGTGGAAACATGACCAGAGGTGAGCAGTAGCTGCCCCTTGAGACAGACCATGTGCCGTCAGTTTGCCACAGACCCCACCACTCCCTATCGCTGCATTCAGGCCATTTCACCAATCTACCTGCCTTGTATTTAAGTTTGTGACCTCTCTTTTAATTGTAAGTTTTTTATATGTCTGTTTCTGTGCCTTAGGCCCTTCTGAAACTCTAACTCCTTGTATGGTATCTAATAAATAATTTTTAGAATAAAAGTAATTTCTAATAGCCTGACAAAGGAGGCTAGAGTGTGGGTACTTAGATCTCAACCTTTAGTAAAGAAATTATTATTATTATTATTATTATTTTTTTTTGAGACGGCGTTTTGCTCTTGTTACCCAGGCTGGAGTGCAATGGCATGATCTCGGCTCACCGCAACCTCCGCCTCCTAGGTTCAGGCAATTCTCCTGCCTCAGCCTCCTGAGTAGCTGGGATTACAGGCACACGCCACCATGCCCAGCTAATTTTTTTTGTATTTTTAGTAGAGACGGGGTTTCACCATGTTGACCAGGATGGTCTCGATCTCTTGACCTCGTGATCCACCCGCCTCGGCCTCCCAAAGTGCTGGGATTACAGGCGTGAGCCACCGCGCCCGGCCTAAGAAATTATTTTTAAAGCGGGTAAAGGATAGAGAATGTTGGCAAAATTACCAGTATTAGATAAATAGATTTTCACTGATCATTTACTTGTAATTGCTTATGATGTCCAACAACCACTTCAACTGAATTTAAAGAAATGCCTGACTCTTCGGCTAAATTACTGGGATTAGCTGGAGGTTTTGCACCATTACGGTCACAAGACGTGCTCGCAGTTGCTCTGATGAGTAGGGGTGAGGGGGTAGGGGCGGCTGTGGCTGTCTCCCTCCTGTCCCAGCCACTGTGGTATGCCCGCCACAGCTGAAGAAAAGAGGCTTCATTACAATGAAATGGACATACCTTATCAATATTAATTACCTACAGTGGGTCAAGAGATAAAGTTATCTGGTAATTAGCTCCTTGCTGATAAACAACTTAAGGCAGAGACACTTAATTTTAAAGCAGAGCTTCTCATAAAGTCGTTGAGTGTGATCCTGGTAACCTTGGTGTATAGTCATGGAATAACCAGGCACATGACATTATTTAGTGTAAATCTTTCCTATTCTTAGTATTTGACATAAGTTCCCCATTCTTAAGTTCAAGCACAAGATTTATGGAGAAAACAGAAGTAAGTTCAGTCAAATAAACGGGCACGATGGCTCATGCCTGTAATCCCAGCACTTTGGGAGGCCGAAGCGCATGGATCAACTGAGTTCAGGAGTTTGAGACCAGCCTGACCAACATAGTCAAACCCTGTCTCTATTAAAAAATACAAAATTGGCCAGGTGTGGTGGCACATGCCTGTAATTGGAGGCTAAGGCAGGAGAATCGCTGGAACCCGGAAGGCAGAGGTTGCGGTGAGCCGAGATCACACCACTGCACTCCAGCCTGGGCAACAAGAGTGAAACTCCATCTAAAAAAAAAATAATAATAAGGTTGGGCGCGGTGGCTCACACCTGTAATCCCAGCACTTTGGGAGGCCAAGGCAGGTGGATCACAAGGTCAAGAGATCAAGACCATCTTGGCCAACATGGTGAAACCCCCTCTCTACTAAAAATACAAGATGTAGCTGGGTGTGGTGGCACGCGCCTGTCGTCCCAGCTACTTGGGAGGCTGAGGCCAATGATCCAGCAATTCCACTCCTAGGTATAGACCCAGGGGAAATGAGCACGTACATTCACCAAAAGTCATAAATGTTTGTAGCAGTTTTATTCATAATAGCCTCAAGTTAGAAATAACTAAATGTCCAAAAAATGTAAAACAAATAAACAGAAGATAGTATTACAGTCATATTGTGGAGTATTACACACTAATAACAAAGAAACAGAAACAAAATAAACTTCAAGATATTATGTTTAATGAACGGAGTCAGACACATCAGAATTTATATAGTATGTGATTCCATTTATATGAAGCTCAAGAATAGGTAAAACTGGCCAGGCGCAGTGGCTCACACCTGTAATCCCAGCACTTTGAGAGGCCTAGATGGGCGGATCACCTGAGGACAGAAGTTCAAGACCAGCCTGGCCAACATGGCAAAACCCCATCTCTACTAAAAATAGCTGGGTGTGGTCACACATGCTTGTAATCCTAACTACTCGGGAGTCTGAGGCAGGAGAATCGCTTGAACCTGGGAGGCAGAGGTTGCAGTAAGCAGAAATTGTACCACTCTCTGGCCTGGGTGACAGAGCAAGACTCCCTCTAAAAAAAAAAAGACTAGGTAAAACTAATCAATATCAAAGAAGTCAGGATACTGGTTCTTTTTAAAATTAATTATTAACTTAAGAAAGGACCTCACTCTGTCACCCAGGCTAAAGTGCAGTGGCATGATCATGGCTCATTGTAACCTCGACTTCCTGGGCTCCAGTGAGCCTCCCATCTCAGCCTCCTGAGTAGCTGGGACTACAGGCACATGCCACCATGCCTGGCTAATTTTTGTATTTCTGTTAGAGATGGGGTTTCACCATATTTCCCAGGCTGGTCTCGAACTCAGGATCTCAAGCCATCCACCTGCCTCAGCCTCCTAAAGTGCTGGGATTATAGTTGTGAGCCACTGAGCCCAAGCCAGGATGGCGGGCATGAAGCAGGGAGGAAGATACTGACTGGCATGTTTGCTGGGGAGCTTTCTGGGGCACTGGGAGTGTTCTATATCTTTACCTGGATCATGGTTACATGGGTGTACACATGATGTAAAATTTCATTGAGATGTTCACTGAAGAGGTGTGCACTTTACTCCATGTAAATTCTTCCTCAACGAGAACATATGTGTAATTAGAAAGTAAAAATAAAGGCCAGCTCACGCCTGTAATCCCAGCCTTTTGGGAGACTAAGGTGAGCAGACTGTTTGAGTCGAGGAGTCTAAGACCAGCATGGGCAACATAGCAAAACCCCATTGCTACAAAAAAATGTAAAAAATTAGGGCATGGTGGTGGGGCACCTGCAGGTCAAGCTACTTGGGAAACTGAGGTGGGAGAATCGCTTGATCCCGGAGGCAGAGGCTGCAGTGAGCCAAGACTGTGCCACTGCACTCCAGCCTGGGCAACAGAGCAGGACCCTGCCTCAAAAATAAATAAATAAAAATTGGCCAGGCGTGGTGGCTCACACCTGTAATCCCAGCACTTTGGGAGGCCGAAGCGGGTGGATCACAAGGTCAGAGATCGAGACCATCCTGGCCAACATGGTGAAACTCCTTCACTACTAAAAATAGAAAAATTAGCTGGGCACGGGGCTCATGCCTGCAGTCCCAGCTACTCAGGAGGCTGAAGCAGGAGAATCACTTGAACCCAGCAGGCAGAGGTTGCAGCGAGTTGAGATTGCACCACTGCACTCTAGCCTGACAACAGAATGAGACTGTGTCTCAATAAATAAATAAATAAATTAATTAAAATAAAGTAAAAATAAAACTCTAACCTCAGTTAACCAATACTCACTGGAGGTCATCTGGCCCCATGCCCCTTCCCAGCCTCTAATCTGCTCTCCTGGCATCAGGTGTTTTCATGGTGCAGCCCGTTTCAGGGTACCACATACTGCGAGCTTTATTGTCCCATTTTACAGATGAGAAAACAGGCTCAGAGAGTTAAGGCAACTTACCCAAGGACATGTAACGGGTCTTACCACAGGCCACTGACCCTGGAGTCTAATTTCTTAACCCCTACCCTAAGCCTTGCCCCACGAAGAACCCATGAATGTCTGCTGAATGATGAATGAATGGCCAACATCATGATAGCCACATCCTTACCTCTTTGGCTTTGTCTTGTGCCTTCATATTTTCAGCAATATACTTGACACTTTGGATGGCTTCTTTGATTTCTGGTGACAAAGCAGAGAGCGAGAGCACAGCATCCACCGATTCAGAACTGGAGCTTCTCGTGAGGTTGGCACTGAAATTGGAGATTTTGATTCTGCGGTGGCGGCAGTAGCTGCACACCCCGTCCTGGCAGGGGCAGCCGTCCTTGCAGCCTTTGCCCTCTGCACGGCTGAAGCAATTCAGATTTGAGAGCTCGGCGCCGTACAGGGGCCTCGGCTTCTGAGCGCTGCCCTCGTTGCTGCTTGGCCTGGTCATGAACATGACCCTGGGGAGCAGGTTCAAGAACACGGTCTTCACCCAGGAGGGCATCGTGTGTGTCGTCGGGGTTCTGTAGTGCACGTTGAGCACGAAGACGGTGATGACGATGGACAAGGTGACGAAGATCATGGTGAATAGGAGGTACTCTCCGATCAGGGGGATGACTAGCGAGGTGGAGGGGATGGTCTCAGTGATGACCAGGAGAAACACCGTCAGGGAGAGGAGGACGGAAATGCACAGGGTCACCTTCTCGCCGCAGTCGGAGGGCAGGTAGAAGACGAGCACCGTGAGGAAGGAGATGAGCAGGCAGGGGATGATGAGGTTGATGGTGTAGAACAGCGGCAGCCGCCGGATGTACAGCGAGTACGTGATGTCGGGGTAGATCTCCTCGCAGCAGTTGTACTTGATGTCGTGCTTGTAGCCCGGGGCTTTGATGATGGCCCACTCGCCGCTCTCCCAGTAGTCCTTGAGGTTCATGGAGGAGCCGATCAGGACCAGATCGATTTTCGCCTTGTCGTAAGACCAGGAACCGAACTTCATGGTGCAGTTTTGGTAATCAAACGGGAAGTAGGTCACATCAATTTTGCAGGAGCTCTTGAAGATGGCCGGAGGTATCCACGTCACCTCCCCAGTGTACTTGAGTAAGGCTTTGGTCTTGTCGTCCACCTGGAAATCCCCAACGGCGCTGCAAAGACAAGGAGGGGCACCGTGACACAGGGCCATCAACACTTGGGCATGACAAGCAGGGGCACCGTGACACAGGGCCATCAACACTTGGGCATGACAAGGAGGGGCACTGTGACACAGGACCATCAACACTTGGGCATGACAAGGAGGGGCACCGTGACACAGGACCATCAACACTTGGGCATGACAAGCAGGGGCACCGTGACACAGGGCCATCAACACTTGGGCATGACAAGGAGGGGCACTGTGACACAGGGCCATCAACACTTGTCATGACAAGGAGGGGCACCGTGACACAGGACCATCAACACTTGGGCATGACAAGCAGGGGCACCGTGACACAGGGCCATCAACACTTGTCATGACAAGGAGGGGCACTGTGACACAGGGCCATCAACACTTGGTCATGACAAGGAGGGTCACCGTGACACAGGGCCATCAACACTTGGGCATGACAAGCAGGGGCACCGTGACACAGGGCCATCAACACTTGGTCATGCAGTGGTCATCTCGTCCAGCTTCTCACGGTAATGATTTGGAAGGCAGCGGAGGATGAGAGCTGAAATTGCCATAAACCGTCACCTGATTCCCGGGCCCATTTACCAGTGGGGATACTGAGGCCCAGGCTCCATCCCCAACAACAATCTGAGACATTGATCAGCCCCCAGGGCATGCCAACAGTTCATCCCACAACACAGCTCCCAAACTGATACGTAAACAGAGACTCCCAAACCCCCAAAGAGGGTTTTTCCCCCTTTATTTTTTATTTTTATCTATTTATTTATTTAGAGGCAGAGTTTCGCTCATTGCCCAGGCTGGAGCGCAGGGGCGCTATCTCAGCTCACTGCAACCTCTGCCTTCCAATTTCAAGCAGTTCTCCTGTCTCAGCCTCCCAAGTAGCTGGGATTACAGGCACCCGCCACCATGCCTGGCTAAGTTTTGTATTTTTAGTACAGACCGGGTTTCATCATGTTGACCAGGCTGGTCTCGAACACCTGACCTTGTGATCTGCTCACCTCGGCCTCCTAAAGTGCTAGGATTACAGGTGTGAGCCACCGCGCCTGGCCTTTCCCCCTTTAGTTAAAGAAATGGGATGAAGGTTATCCTCCTGGAGACTGGTGCGGAAGCGACCTTTGGGACTATTTGCCACCCAGGATCCCTGAGCTTTGGACCTCTCCTCATTCAGTCTACACTGGGCACCTAAAATACGTGTGAAATGAGACTGTGGAGGTGGAAGGGGCAGCACAGACCACCCGTGGGAGCCCACTCCCATAAACCGAACCTCTTCAGATGGGTTTATGATTTCTAAACCCTCTCTCTGGATCCTGACTGGACCACTCCTCGTACTGCCCACCCCTCCCTGCCGTTCTTCCCAGCACTGTTTTACAGTAATCATGGTTTTTGCTTCGAGTCTTTCAAATGCACCATAATAGGTTTCTTCACTTCCAGTGTCACTATCTGTCCCCATTTTCCACCCATGTTTCTTCTCCCTTCCTTTTCACTATGTGTACTCTGACTTTATATTCACATAGAAACACACATTTTTCTTTCTTTCTTTTTCTTTTTTGAGATGGGGTCTCATTCTGTTGTCCAGGCTAAAGTGCAGTAGTACAGTGATCTCAGCTCGCTACAACCTCTGCCTCCCGGGTTCAAGCGAGTCTCCTGCCTCGGCCTCCTGAGCAGCTGGAATCACAGGCATGTGCCATGACACCCAGCTACTTTTTGTATTTTTAGTAGAGATGGAGTTTCGTCACATTGGCCAGGCTGGTCTCGAACTCCTGACCTTGACTGAGCCGCCCACCTCAGCCTCCCAAAGTGCTGAGATTATAGGCTTGAGCCACCGCCCTGCCTTAGAAATGTACATTTTTCTAGGAATGGCCTTTTTGGTTTGTCCGACAGAAGATCCACTGATGGTCCCCGCTGAGTTGTGCAGTGCGCATTCCATCTGCGATGGCCAGATGAGGCCAGCTGAGAGCAAGGCGGGTTGCTTCCACAACAGCGTGCCTGCCCAGGAGGCCCTGACACATTCCTCGGATCAGCCCTATTGAGGTTCTTAGCCTTATGAAGGCATCTGCACCTTCAAAGGGAGCAACCACCATACTCCTTTGCCTTGTACCTGAAGAGCTGAAGAGAATGACAAAGCCTAAACATTGAGGGAATCCTTGTGCTGCTTGTATTGGATGGGAGCCCGTGAAAGCACAAGGGGATTGTTCTGGAGCGCGTCCTTCTTCCTTGCTAGTCTCTCCTGGGCCTCGGTTGAGCAGGACAATCATCACCCATGAAGGCTCAATGCAAAAGCCACTATCTACCTTTCCTCTGGTCGGCTGGCTCGCCCCCAAAGGCGCCCTGCTGAGTTTATACATCCTTAGCCCCCACTTCACTCCTACCAGGCCCTTAATTCCATACAAGAGAGCTCCCGGCTCCAGGAAAAAGGGAGAGGTGGGGTGGAGGTGAATATCCACACCCCCCCAGGTGGACTCCGCCTGTGTTCGGCATGGAGGGCCCCGGAGAGCCCTGGGCTAAGCAGAAGGTTGGAAAGACCCTCGGGAAGGCAGAGCCCGCCTGAACCAATGCCTCACAGCATCCTGGATCAACAGAATGTCAGAGTGGCAAGGGAGCCTCAGGGCCCAGGGTCTAGTCCAGGGGTTGGGAAGCTGTGGCCCTAGTTCTGTAAAGAAAATGTGGGGGGAAGAACGCATTGCCTTTTCTTGTCTAGTACCTATGGCTGCTATTGAGCTCCGAGGTTAGAGGGGAATAGCTGTGGCCACGACTTTACGATCCACGACGCCTAAAATACTTATTCTCTGGCCCTTTAGAGAAAACATTTGCTAGCACCTGCTTTAGTCCAGTGCCTTCATTTTGCCAAACAGAAAACTGAGGCTCAGAGGACCGTATTGATTTGCTCGAGACCCCACAGAGAGTTTGTGGCAGAACCTTGGCCATTCAGAACTTGGGTCCCCAAGTAAGGAGACACGGAAATGTGTGCACGTGCCCAGAGAACAGACACTTCAGGTTAGCTGCGCTTGGCTGAGGCTCATTTCTGGGGATCCTGGTCACTGCAGCTGCTGCCCGCAGCACCCCTGGGGTGTGTCTGCCTAGATCAGAAGGCCTGTGTTCTGCCTGAGGCCATGTTGACAGTCATATCTCTGCTAACAGAAGACAGAGAACACGCAGACCCAGCGGGGGACTGGGGTCTGGCACAGCACCGGCCACATACAGGGCACTTGGTAAATATTTGTTGACCTAACACATGACCAAAAAATAAATGAAAGTCGGGAGCAGTGGCTCACGCCTGTAATTCCACCACTTTGGAAGGCCGAGGTGGGCGGATCACCTGAGGTCAGGAGTTTGAGACCAGCCTGGTCAACATGACGAAACCCCATCTCTACTAAAAATACAAAAATTAGCTGGGCATGGTGCCGTGCGCCTGTAATCCCAGCTACTTGGGAGGCTGAGACAGGAGAATTGCTTGAACCCAGGAGGCGGAAGTTGCAGTGAGCTGAGATGGTGCCACTGCACTCCAGCCTGGGTGACACAGTGAGATTCTATCTAAATAAATAAATATTTAAATAAATATCACACCCAGAGACAGCTGGCAACAATGGACAGCAGAGGTGGGAGGGGTTGGAGCAACGTACTGCCAATGTGAGGCATTTAGAAAAGGTAGCATGGGAGCAAAGGATCATCTGAGGTACCACTGCCATACAGGGGGCATTTAAGAACAGAAGTTGGCGGTGGGGTGGTGAGGGCTCTGAGAAAGATCACGGTGGCACGGCTTTTTTAAATCCCTCTAAATTTCTTCAGAAAAATAGGGCAACTAGGGTGACAGCAAAATAACAAATCTGATCACATCATCAACAAAGTCAGGTGATGCAGCACCTTGGGGTCTGAGGGTGTGGGGTCAGACCAGCACCACCAGCAGGACCTGTGGGACCCACTGAATCCACTTCTGTTCTTAAATGCCCCGTTTGGCAGTGGTACCTTCGCTGACCATTTGCACCCACGCTCATTTTGGGTCATGTTTTTAATTGCCTCACATGGTTTGGCAGTACACTGCTCAGCTCCCTCCCACCTCTGCTATGCGATTCACTGCTGGACAGAGGCAGCCAGGGGAAAAGAAAGAAGGGTTCTCATGTCCTAAGAGCCTAAGAGTGCCAGACACAGAAATCTCCAAGAAGTGGCTGCCCCTCAAAAGATGAGGACCGCACTCTGCGCTGAATCTTCAGCAAGGGGAACAATGAAACAGAGAGGGCTCCACAGGTTCCGGTTTATGGGCAAGAATAAAAAAGCCCATGGGAATCCACTTATGGTCTGCAGAGGTCGGTCAGGGCTGGCGTGGGCTCTTGAGGAAGTCAGAAATGCCTCCCAAAACCTCCCTGCCAGAGGACAGGGACCCACTCAGAGAAAAGGCTGCTTTTGGTAGGATCCAGACTCAATGGGGTAAGAAAGTGGGGGTGAGAGGAGAAAGAAGGTTCAGAAACTGAGGTCAGCATCCAGAGGTGGCAGCTAGTGGAGGTGCCATGACTGAGCACTCCACAGTGTCAGGACTATGGAGACTGTGGAGGTGACCACGCAGAGAGACCAGTGTCACCTCCCGGTAGCCACCCATCTTCTCCCATTCCCTCCAGGAACTTGCTGTAAAGGCACAGCAAGGCCATCTATTTCAACAAGAGCAACGGAGCCTTATGAAGACATATTGTAAGAAAAATACAAAAGCAAGTAACTGAGTAACACACACGCAGGTAACAGCAGCTACAAAACAGAGCCACCAAGCAGACGAAGCAGATGGTAATAATCTGATATTACAGATGAAGTGAAAAGAAGCTAAGAAATTTTTAGAAACTGTGAAAGAGCAACAGAAATCAGAAAAGATAAGGGATAATTTGGTGGAATGACAGAATGTATGAAGAACTAGTAGAATTTAAAGAATTAGGAAAAAGGAAAAAAAATTTTAGAAATAAAACCAGAAGAAACATAAGAACAAGCAGGCCAGACATGGGGGCTCACACCTGTAATCCCAGCATTTTGGGAGGCCGAGGCAGGCAGATCACTTGAGGTCAGGAGTTCGAGACCAGCCTGGCCAACATGGTCAAACCCCGTCTCTACTAAAAATATGAAAAATTAGTCAGGCATGGTGGTATGCACCTGTAAGCCCAGCTACTTGGGAGGCTGAGGTGGGAGAATAGTGGAATCTCTGCCTCTATCTGGGAGTGAGCCAACATCATGCCACTTCACTCCAGCCTAGCCAACACAGCAAGGCTCTGCCTGAAAAAAAATTCTTTTTCATGGAAGGATTAGAGAAACCAAGAATTTTACACCTAGCCACGTTTCCTAAAAGTACTCTCTAAAAAGGTTACAATGAATTACAAACTTCAGAGAACGCAGAGTATACAGTGTCCATGAACATTTTGAGGACTTTATCAGCAAATGAACTGTAGAAAACAAAATATCATAGGAGAAATTTTGGTATTGTGTTAAAAAATGAAGAGAAATCCTTAACAGAGAGTCAATCCTGAGCAACTGAGGGTCTAACTAGGAGAAGAGAGAGAAAATGAGTTGGATGATTTTCTCTGTTATTTTCAGCTTCCGATTTCAAGGAGATTCCTTATGATATTTTTTCCTCTCACATCCAATTTGAAACATTTCACTATGCCTCTCGTTATTGCTAAAACCATACATCCTGTAGTACTCCAGCTGTTCACTCAAGATTGCCAGCACGAAAATGGCTATAAAACCCAAAACATAAGATTAAAATTTGGGCTCATTTTCTTAATTCTAGCTTAACAAAAATTCTCTACACCCTGCCCACTTCCCTTAAGAGCATTTGAACCATGCGATTCCTATGACAATTCACAGTGTAAGAAAAAATAATCTGCAAGCCAGTTAAGTTTATATTGTGCCCCAGTTCTTTGACGACCAGCTTACAAATACAAATTATATAGAAATAACATATTTGGCCAGGCGCAGGGGCTCACATTTGTAATCCCAGCACTTTGGGAGGCCGAGGAGGGTGGATCACGAGGTCAGGAGTTCAAGACCAGCCTGGCCAAGATGGTGAAACCCTGTCTCTACGAAAAACACACAAATTAGCTGGGTGTGGTGGTGGGCGCCTGTAATCCCAGCTACTCGGGAGACTGAGGCAGAAAACTGCTTGAACCTGGGAGGCAGAGGTTGCAGTGAGTCGAGGTTGCACCACTGGGCTCCAGCCTAGGTGATAGAGCAAGCCACCATCTCAAAAGAACAAACACACACACACCTTATTTATAAGTGTCGTGTTTCCTTGGGAAAATAGTAAATTAAACATGGATTGTCTTTGCAGTGAGTTAAGACCCCCTTTTGTTTTTGCCAGAGACCAGAAAGTAAGATTCAGCGTAAAACACAGCATCTCCAGTCCTGACGCTAATTGTTAAAACTACTCATACTAATAGAAAACATTATTTTGTACTGATATGGCATAAAAACCTAAACATATTTTTAGTCACTGAAATCAGAAGAGACTAATTCTACATGAAGTGTTTTGCTGAAAAATGTTTAAATGTTTATCTAAAAATAGAGCACAGGTACAAAAATGATATTCTTCAATACCTAGAGAACTAACGAGCACACTGTAAAATATCACTTAAAATTTATGTCAGTCCAATGAAAGAGCTTAAAGGTGGAAAGTATCAGTTTTTTGTGGATTTAAAGAAAAAAAGGGCGTTTTGGAGGTGCGATGATGAGCAGCACCAGCCTGGCAAAGGAAGAACCTTTGCAAGAGAAAAAGAGGAGAGGCCTCCCAAAAGCGGCGGGAAGATGCGTGTTCCGGATCCAGAGGAGACTGGAAGTGGCCCCTGTGAGGGACTGGTCAGAGCAGCTTCCCTAGACGGCAGGAGCCAGGGATGTCTTTGTAGTTCTAGACTCATCCTTTACAACTGCGACCTGGATGCAGCCACCCAGATGGGCTGGGAGCACAGGGCCCAGAAAGCTTGCCCTACCCTGTACATGGGAACCCCACTTGACATACTTGGGGGGCCATCAATCCTTTCTCCAAGGCCCAGACCTTTCCCCAGTGGGAGGAGGCCTGGAGGGTACACCATGTAACAGGGTAACTGTCTTATGGCAGGTTTGCTGCTGGGAGAGTAGAGGTTTGGGGACACAGGCGGAGACAGGTTGGGGTACCCAGCTCAGCCCCCTGATCACAGCATCAGCCCCCTGCATCCACTGCCCACAGCGGCCCCACAGCCACAGTGGATGGCGGAGACCACCCCAGGCCTGGCTGTGCCACACGCCCACTCTGGGCCTCTGTTTTGATTTGTGAAATGTCAGGGACGGGCCAGATCAGGGATCCCCAAAGCAAACTGGTCACACAGCCCCCAGGACAGCTTTGTGAAAATACCCATTCCTAGGCCCACCTAGACCCACGGACTCTGTTTCTGTGGGGCGGGACCTGCGGTCAGGTGTAGAGATTGTTTGGACAATGTAATATTTATTAGCTTTAGAAAAGACAGTGAGGAACAAAGAGGAAAATATTTTGAGTGTAGGCACCTGTGTTTTTTCACTGCGCCCAGGCTGGTGTGCAGTGGCGTGATCTCAACTCACTGCAGCTTCCACCTCCAAGGTTCAAGTGATTCTCCTGCCTCAGTCTCTGGAGTAGCTGGGATTACAGGTGCGTGCCACCATGCCTGGCTCATTTTTTTGTATTTTTAGTAGAGACAGAATTTTGGTATGTTGGCCAGGCTGGTCTTGAACTTCTGTCCCCAGGTGATCCACCCATCAAGGCCTCCCAAAGTGCTGGGATTACAGGCGTGAGCCACCGTGCCTGGCCAAGCACCTGTATTCTTAAAGAGCTCACTGGGGCCAGGCACGGTGGCTCACGCCTATAATCTCAGCACTTTAGGAGGCCGAGGCAGACAGATTGCTTGTGGTCAGCAGTTCGAGACCAGCCTGGCCAACACGGCAAAAACCCATCTCTACCAAAAAGTGCAAAAATTACCCAGGCGTGGTGGCACGTGCCTGTAATCCCAGCTACTTGGGAGACTGAGGCAGGAGGACTGCTTGAACCCAGGAGGCGGAGGCTGCCATGAGCTGAGATCGCACCACTGTACTCCAGCCTGGGCAACAGGGTAAGATTCAGTCTCAAAAAAAGCTCCTTGGCCTTAGTAACTGTGCCAGTCTGCAGGCTGGGAACTCTAGGATTAAACAGCTCAGGCCACGAACTTCTCCAACACTCTCATTCTCTTCCAAAGAAAAGGTGAAGAGGAACTGTTTACTCCATTCGTGTCTATTTGCACAGAACTGCTAACAGATGCGACATTCCAGGTGCCCCCAGCATCTCAGCCTTCCCCCTCCACACATCATGGTTGGTCCTTGGCCCATGGATCTTTCCAGCCTTATGTCCCACAGTCCAGCCAATGAGGTCACCTTGGCTGCCCATGACATACTCTCCTGCCTTCCTGGGCCCTCCTCTGCTCCATCTCCCTGTCCTGAGATCTTCAGGACTCACTTCAAATGCTAATTCTTCCCTGAAGCTTTCCCCGATGCCCTCCTCCACCCACTCATGGCCTGCTTTGAAGCTACTCAGCACACTGCTGCTGTCTGTGGCTCACGGGTATCTCTGGTGCCTGGTAGATAGTAGTTGCTGAATACATACCTGTTGAATGAACAAATGAATGAATCTCTCTTAGAAAAGGCTAAGGAAGGCCAGGTTTTAAACCAGGAAAGCCAAGGACCCAGAGCCCAGGCTGACAGCCCTGAGAGGGCACGGGCCCCCAGCACCTTACTTGTTATACAGCACAATGTCGGGCTTCCAGATCTTCTGGGCAGGGACACGCATGAACTCCGCCCCACCGTAGTCCGAGGGGTTCCACTTCAGCTTGTAGTCATTCCAGATCTCAGGGAAGGAAGCAGGGAGGGAGGAGACAGTCACAGAATCAGTCGGGTTTTACTTCTCCTGGCACCACCCATCTTGGTGACTCCCCACCCCTGTTACATGTGGCCAAGCCGCATCCATGCCATGATCACACAGCTCAACTTCTCCTGGGGGTGCAGCGGGGGAGAGAGCACAGGGCTGGGCCTGTGGGCTGCCTCCTGGCCCTAGGGAAGCCACTGTCCCCAGGACTGTGAGCAAGCCCCGCCCCTCATCAACCAAACAGGACCTATTGCAGCTCTCTCTGGCCACTTCTAGTGCCAGGAGGAGCCTCCTGGACTCCTTGCACGGGGTCCAGGTCCACGTGCCTGCTGTTTACAGCCTCTAAATGGCTCTCCCAGGGGTGTTTTCCAACACAGAACTCTCTTTCAACCCAAAATTCAGCAAGGCTGGCCTCTGCAAGGTTCTAGGGGAAGAAGCCATGATCCCCGCAGGGCCTAGGAGGTGTCTGGGTGCAGAGGGTGGGGGTCTCAGTCCTCAGCACCAGAGGAGAAAGGGGTGAGGCTGCAGCCACAGAGGGAGCGTGGGCATCAGGTACTGGGTGGGGCACTGTGCCCATCTGGCTTTCCAACCTCCTGGGGATGAAGGATGTGTGTGCTGAGTGCTCAGCTGGCCAGACTTGCAGAAGGGTCACCAGCAGGCCAATGGGCCATTATGTCTCTTAGCAAGTCTGGACAGCCTCCCTGGGGAGGAAACGTGGAAGGCAATTTCCTGGCCTCAATCTGAGCAGGAAAATCTACTCACACCCTACCAACAATAGCAGTGTCTGATTCTGACTTAAGAATGAGGTTTTGGGCTGGGCACAGTGGTTCATGCCTGTAATCCCAGCACTTTGGGAGGCTGAGGTGGGCAGATTGCTTGAGCTCAGGCATTCTAGACCAGCCTGGGCAACATGGCGAAACCCTGTCTCCGCAAAAAATACAAAAATTAGCCAGGCATGGTGGTGCACGCCTGTGGTCCCAGCTGCTTGGTAGGCTGAGGCAGGAGAATCACTTGAACCCTGCTGGCGGAGGTTGCAGTGAGCCGAGATCGCGCCACTGCACTCCAGCCTGGGTGACAGAGTGAGATCCTGTCTGGAAAAAAAAAACTGAGTTTTTAGCAAGAAGGAGAGAAGGAGGTTGTCTCAAGTACCACCCCAGGGCTCAGGGGCGGGGCTTCAATCTCAGGTTCATTCAGTCCTGTTGTGTGAACATGGAGAATGTCTTTCTCCAGGCTGAGCCTATCCATCTGGAACTTGAGGGGTTGGGCCCTACAGTCCTTCTAGGGGGACTGTAGGACAGTGCACGTGGCCTCAAGCCTTAGAAGAGAGAGATCTGCCAGTCAGGGACCCCAATCTGGGTTCCACAGAAGTGAATTGAAGCCTGGTCTTTGGGCCCTACTTGGTTCATCTACAGCAAATAAAGCAGTCACCACCAGGGGGCAGCAGTGACTAGGGTCTGGTCACTTACTTGCTTGAGCCACAGGTTGGTCTCCATGATCTGGTTTACTTCATCCTAGAAAGAGGGATTAAAGTAGACAGGAGAATTACAAAAACAAGGCTCATTCTGGGAAAGGCTCCTCCAGAAGCCCCGGTCCCCATGGCCACGGCTCGCGGCTCCAGCACTCACCACCTTCACCAGCTGAGACATGGACACCTCGAAATGGATGATGACTGGGTCAGACACGTTGGCCACAGGCCGGATGATCTCATTGTAATCTTCAAACAGCCGCTCAAAGAGACGGTGCTCAGCCGCCGAGGCCCTGGCCACTGGAGGAAGCAGCCTCGTCAGTCCATGGGGGAATCATTACTTAACCTGCCCCACCCAGCCCACCAGCAACATTGCCTACCGACAGCGTCCCCTCCACCTGTGGGACAACTCTGTGGAACCCTAGACTTTCAGGCTAGTCTTACCCCGTGGGTTACAGACTGGGAAACTGAGGCCCAAGAGGGGCAGGAGTCTACCAGGTCACACACATTCAGTGAGCACAGTGGTTGCAAGCCTAGGCTCTGCAGCTGGACAGACCTGGTGAAAATCCCGACAAATCACTTGTGAGCTGTGTGAGCTTAGGCAAGTGGCTTAAACTCTCTGAACCTCAGTGTCTTTATTAGTCAAAATAAGGATTATAAATGTATCCACTTCAAAGGGTGTTGAGAAGGAAGTGCACAGCTTGGTGCTGTGGTAAGAGCTCAACAACTATTTGCGATCCTTTCCTGGGTTGTTACTGCAGGGCGGGCGTGTGGTGCAAATGCTGTCTGCCTAGGTACAGCCACTCTCTGCTTCTACGATGGAAAGATGGCCGCCGCCCGCCCCCCCCACCAGGGGCAGGGCCACTCACGGTCACCCAGGCCAAAGTCTCTGGGAGAACGCCTGGGTGTCTGGGCCTCTCTTGCATTCCATCCCGTAGGGGTTTGGCCACCAGCCGTCTTAGAAGCCAAGACACCATGTGGCTCCCGTGATCTCGTGTGCTCCCCCAGCTCATGCTGATGCTGTCTTCACATCCTGATCAATGACTCTGACCTCTCTGCAACCCTTGGGCACCCCTCTTTGTTTCAAAGCCACACCACAGCACAGGTGAGGCACACGGGGTGAGGCACACGGAGTCAGCTGTCTTCCAGTTCCCACGTACAGATCGGAGCAGCTTGGGGAGGCAGGAGGAGAACCCTCTGGGAATTTGAATCCAACTTCCTCAGGTCTTGAAATGGGATTTTTGCCTGTTCTCCCCCTCCTCTTCCCCAGAATGCAAGGAGGGTCCCAGGCAGGAGTTCAGTTGAGAACGTGTGGCGTTCTGAATAGCTGAGGCCTCGGCACCGAGGGCAGAAAGTGCTCTGGGCGCACAGCCGCACAGCAGACCGCCGGCCCGCCCGCCAGGAACTCCCTGCGCCCTGCCTGGTCCCGGACGCTTGCTATCCACCAGCCCTCCCAGGCACTCAAGAGCCTCCCAGGCCAGGGCCCGCTTCCCCCATCAGGCTAGTCTGGAGAGCGGGAGGAAGACGGGAGGCGCTGCCCTGGTGGAAGGTCCCACAGCGACGCAGCCTGGGGCGCGGGGCGACGAGGACAGGAGGAGAGGCTGGCGCGCTGGCTCCAGCCCCAGGCCCGAAGCGACTCCCCTCTCCCCCAGGTGGCCTTGGCCAAGTCTTTAGTCTTCTCTGGCTACAGTTTCCCCACCTGTCGGTCAAATGAGGCGATGGGCGGGATGAGGACGGTGGAGCGCGAGGCCTGGGCGCGCCAGTTCGGGAGTCAGTGCGCGGGGCGGGGCGATCGGCAGCGCGGGGACGCGAACCCCCGGTACCTGCGCCCAAGACGAATGACCCGGTCCCGACCTCCCCGTCACCCCGCGCCTACCTGCGCCCGCCAAGTGACTCCCAGGTTTGCTGGTGGCTAGGGGTGGGGAGTAAGCCGAAAGGGAAAAAGCCACCCCACCCAAGTCGCCGCCGCGCGGGAGCGGGTCTGCGCGGGTTCCGAGTCCCCGGACCGCGCCCGCCCTCTCCGCTCGCCAGCGCGGTGCTCTCACCGCAGCGCCTGGGATCCCGCGCCCACTCCCGCGTCCCTCCGGAGCCCTGACGCCCGTGCGGGTACCTGGCAGCAGAGACAGCAGCAGCAGCAGCCGCGGCGATGGCAGCGCCCGGGGAACCGAGAGCGGGCGGGAGTCCATGGCTGGTGGCGCGGCTCGCCGCGGACTCGGACGGTCGGAGCGGGCGCAGAGACGGCCTCTCCCCGCGCGGCTACAGCGCAGACTCCGGACCTGGAGCCGTGCGAGCGGGACGGGCGGGACTCCTCTCTGCTTCGCCGCCTCTGGGTTTCCGGCGCTCTCGGACCCGCGGGAGGACAGGAACCACCCGGAGCCAAGCAGCGCGGGGCGCGGGCGCAGGAGTGGGTGGGGCGGGCGGGGCGTGCGCGCCCTTGGGAAGGGACTCCCTGCCCGAGTCCCCAGCGCCCGGCGGGCTCCCTCTGCGCGGGGCGGGGCGCTCCGGACGGCGGCGCCCGACCAGATCCGAGCAGGTGCTGTCACCACCGCCAGGAAAAAAGAGGGACCCAGCCTCTGTCCCTGGCTTCCGGGCGTGTGCAGCTGCCGCCGGGGATTGGGACCACCCGGCCAGGCGCTGCAGGAGAGGCGCTAACACACCCTGGGAAGGTGGCCTCAGGCATTTTCATGCTGTTAAGTAACTGTTAAATATTTTAGATATGGTACTGGTATTTTTTTAAGTCCTTATAGTTTAGGGGCGGTAGAAGTCAGCTGAAACAATAGTGGCCGTGAGTTGCTAATTGTCGAGGCGGGATGATGGTACCTAGAGGTTTGGTATACTGTTCTCTTTCCTTTAGAATGTGTTTGAATTGTCGCGTAATGAAAAGTTAAACATAAAGAAGACAGAATTTAAAATGAGGCTTCATTTGCTCTTTTTCTGAGACAAGGTCTCACCCTGTCGCCAGGCCTGCAGTGTGGTGGCTCCATTTCAGCTCACTGTAGCCTCCACGTGCCGGGCTCAAGTGATCCTCCCACCTCAGCCTCTGGAGCAGCTGGGACCACAGGCAGGTGCCACCGCGTCTAGTTAATTTTTAATTTTTATGGAGATGGTCATCTCCCTATGTTGCCCAGACTGGTCTGGAACTCCTGGGCTCAGCAATTCTCCTGCCCTGGCCTCCCAAAGTGCCCAGATTTCAGACGTGAGGCACTGTGTATGCCTCATTTGCTCTTCTGATGGAGCAATGTGAGAGGACACTGGGGTTCCCACCCTAGTCCCCTGCAGAATCCCTCTGTCCCCTTCCCCATCACCATCTGCAACCCCAGGAATGTGCACTGATTGGCCAGGCAGGGGGCCCTGGAGCCTCCTGCCCTCACTGTCCAACCACCAGGGATGGGGGCCACCTTGATGCTGGCTTCTTTGACATATCCCTTATCACAGGGGGAAGTTCTGTCGTAAACTCTCTGCCTGGCATTCGGCAAATGGTGACTTGCCTTTATTGTTTCCAGAATGTGCTGCCTACCCGTATTAAAACCAAACAAAAAGAGACAGTGTGTGGAATGGGAAATGTTTGTAAGAACTGGCACCAACTTCTCAGGCTCCCAATTAGAGCATTCTCATCTCCTGGCAAATGTCCCTCATTGGGACAATATTGTAAGTCATATTGCCAACAAAGGCGTTGTATCCAAAATGTGTAAGGAACCCTCAGAACTCAGCCGTAAGTGTAGATGCAGATGAGGGATCTTACTGGGGTGATGCAGATGTTCTAAAACTGGATTCCGGTGATAAACTTATAAAAACTCATTGAATTGTACACTTAAAATGGTTGGATTTTTTTTTTAAGAAAAAAAAAAGAAAAAAGAAAGAGAGAAAGAAAAAAGAATTAAAAAAAAAAAAGAGAGAAGGAGAGAAAGAAAGAGGAAGAGGGAGAGAGAACAGGGGTGTTGCTTTATTGCCTGGGCTAGAATGCAGTCTAAAAATGGGTATGAGACATGAAAAAAAATGAGGGAAGAAAATAACAAACAAGCAGCCAACCAATATTTCATTGAAACCTTTAAATAGGTGTGATGTGGTACCGATAAGTGTATATTTTGTGTATTTAAAGTGGAGAGTTCTATAAATGTTAATTAAGTTTACTTGTTCCGGATCTGAGTTCAAATCCTGGATATCGATGTTAATTTTCTGTCTCATTGATCTGTCTGATATTGATGTTGAAGTCTGCCACTATTATTGTGTGGGAGTCTAAGTCTCTTTATAAGGCTTATATATCTGGATATTCCTGTATTGGGTGCATATATATTTAGGATCTTTAGCTCTTCTTGTTGCATTGATCCTTTTATCATTATGTAATATCCTTCTTTGCTTCTTTTGATCTTTGTTGCTTTAAAGTCTATTTTATCAGAGGCAAAAATTGCAATTCCTGCTTTTTATTTATTTATTTATTTTTGCTCTCCATTTGGTTGGTAAGTCTTTCTCCATCCCTTTGTTTTGAGTCTTTGTGTATCCTCGCATGTGAGATGGGTCTGGATGCAGCATACCGATGAGTTTTGCCTTTTTTTTTTTGCCTGTGTCTTTGGATTGGGGGATTTAGTCGATTTAAATTTAGAATTAATAATAATATATGTGAGTTAATACTGCCATTTAATGTTAGCTGGCTGTTTTGCCCATTAGTTGATGTAAATTCTTGATTATGTTGATGCTCTTTACTTTTTGGTATTTTTTAGAAAGGCTGATACTGGTTGTTCCTTTCTATTTGTAGTGGTTCTTTCAGAATTTCTTGTAAAGCAGGCCTGGCGGTGATGAAATCTCTGAGTGCTTGCTTGTTCACAAAAGATTTTATTTTTCCTTCACTTATGAAGCTTAGTTTGGCAATATAAAATTCTGGGTTGAAAGTTCTTTTCTTTAAGGATGTTGAATGTTGGTCCCCACTCTCTTCTGGCTTGTAGGGTTTCTGCTGAGAGATCTGCTGTGAGTCTGATGGGCTTCCCTTTATGGGTAACTTGACCTTTCTCCCTGGCTGCCCTCAGTATTTTCTTCTTCATTTCAACCCTGGTGAATCTGGCGATTATGTGCCTTGAGGTTGGTCTTCTTGAGGAATATCTTTGTGGTGTTCTCTGTATTACCTGGAGTTGAATATTGTCCTGCCTTGCTAGGTTGGGAAAGTTTTCGTGAATAATATCCTGAAGCGTATTTTCCAGCTTGGATTGATTCTCTTCGTCACATTCAGGTACACCTATCAAACGTAGATTAGGTCTTTTCACATAGTCCCGTATTTC